GTATATATTTGTTTTTATTCTATATATTTATATTTTTATATTTCAGGCATGGCACAGTAAATTCCGTTGTACTCTTGTGCAATGATAATAAATTCTATTCTATTCTATTCAATGCTCCTGTTTCCACAGTAAGTGCTGCAGTCCACGGTGCAACATTTTAATTTATTAAACTAATTAAAGAACAGAAAATGTGTTATTTCATCAACAGAACAGAAAAAGATGATAAAGGAGCAACAACATGAAGGACACAGGAGCAGACTCTTCTGTCTTCATGTTCATGAAACATGAGCACACATCTGCTCTCAGAGGAAACCTTTTTTTGGACACTCAGTCGGAATATTTCACATTTTTTCTTTGCCTTAAAACATATTCGATGTAGTCTTCATGACTCAAACCCAACAGAGACCCTTATAATCTGGAGAACAGGATCTATTCTGAAAGAGATGCCAAAATCTCTGCAGGACGTGGGGCGACGCTGTCAAGCTAACATCAATCTAAAAACCTCAGAACATCTTCAGTATCCACGGCGTCAGTGACTCATGCTGCTCTCAAACTGTAAATTATGATTCCTCTGACAACAGCTAGGTGAGGGGAACTCTTCTGCACCTGTTTGTTGTTAACTTTATATCCTCACAGCTCACACACTTGCAGGGTTTGGTGTTCTAGTATGTTGGTTGCATTCCTGTTAGCACTGATGCTAGGCTTCGGGAAAACAGAAGTCAAACAAAAGTCAGACAATCCAACAAGCTTTAAAACTTCCTCTCACTGTAGAAAACTATATTAAACCTCCTCCTGGACTCATCACCCCTAGAAGCCCCACCCCCTGCAGGACATAGTGTGTACGTTTACTGCTTGTAGCTACACTGCAAGCTAACACACGCTAGCACAAGCTAGTTTGTCACCTGCTTGTCCAACAGGTAGCACTTATCATCCCATTATGTCTTTCATTTGTTTACATGAACAAGGAGCCAGCTGAGGTCTTCTGGGGAGAAGACCCAGAGCTCGCTGCAGGGATTATATATCCCTTCTGGTCTGGGAACCCCTCGAGATCCCCCATGAGGAGTTTGAAAAGGTTGCTGGGGAGAGGGACGTCTGGGGCGACTTCAATCAATCAATCAATCAATCAATCAATCAATCAATCAATTATTTGTAGAGCGCCAATTCATAACAAGTGTTACCTTGAGACGCTTTACTAAAGAGCATATGGGATAATATGCAGGAAGGATTTCTCCTTTGTATTCCTCTCGTTCCTGTTGTCCACACTTCCTCCCCACTGAGGTGGAGGTTGGAGCAGGCCGTGCATGAACAAGGAGGGTGGTGGTTGAGGGACGAGGGATGCTTACCTTGCTGCCACTGCGACTCTGCCCCGGATAAGTGGAAGATAATGGACGGATGAAATCTGCGGTGCGAGCTGTCATGCTTCTTGCAGCCGGCTAGCACGGTCCCGCGAACGTTGAGTCGTTTAATACTGACTGCGGTCAGAGCGCTCAGCGCTCAACACAACCTGAAGAAAGTAGGCTACTTCCGGGCCCTATAGCCAATCTTTGCAACGCGGTCGGCACGAACCCGTCCGCGATGTTACAAAATCTTGGAGGTGCGCGGCTGGGCGCTCAGACCCTCCGCGGACCATTCTCGCGCCAACCGCGATTGCGCAATATTGCCGCGCCGACTGCAAGAAGCATGAAATGAAAACACTGTGGAAAGATTCGAAGTCTGACTAGCAAGCCAGCATTTCTGTTAAACATCCTGTCTGATCATATTTACCGTTTGGTAGCCATAGATAAAGATGTTGAGAGAAATGTGTGCAAGCTTGAAGGTAACTTCATACAGCTTCATTATTATCTCAGGCAACATTAAAGTGACAGCTGGTCAACACATGTAATAAGGCCAGAGGGAATATAAACTTAATGAAAATAGGATAGGATAGTACTTTATTGATTTCCAGAGGGGAAATTTGGGCGTTGCAGCAGCACAGACAAGTAAGGTCAAAATACAAAATACACATTAAACAGAATAGATTAGATAACATAAATAAAAACAGGGGGTATATACAAGTACAAAATGAATGATTAAGTTAACTATAAAGGGAATTGAGACGGTATGTGCAGGGAATGGCAAGATAAATAGATATATTGATAATGTTATATATTTTATGATAGAAGATATGTGAAAATATTGTCATACTTGACTGCCCATCACATCACCCCTGAGTAGAACATGGAAATTCATCCCATTTATAAAAAGGCAAGCAATTGTGTTTTTCTTATTGTTTCCTTCTTTAGTCGGTCTGAATGCTAAAATCTTCTGTAAATTCACATTTTAAAGCTGATATTTAAAAAAAAAACTTCCGACCCCCCTAGGGGGTTTGGATCCATGTCACCTTTTTCATCCCTGATGAGTTCGTACCCCTGAGTTTATCTACAGCCTGTGTGATTGTCTGGCCATGTGCTCCCTCTTAGATTCTGTATTTAAAAAACAGCTTCAAATTAACTTGCGGTAAACGCAGAATGTCCTCATTATGGTGACGAGGAACTGAAATGAGACCACAAAAACATGAAATGAAGGAATGCCCGTAAAGTTAAAATAAGTTAAATACCTGCGTACCAAAAGGTATCAGCTGAACCAATGAAAACATGTTATTTTCTGCTCATGGGAGGAATCAGTTCTCTGTTTCAGTGACTCAGTCAGCGCTGGTCAGGGAGGCGGAAACAAGCTTGACTCAATCATCTCGGTGGGAAATAAAGAAGCATCACGCAACGCTCTGCATACCGCTGCCATGACAAGAGCAAAGGGAGGAAAAAAAGGAGCCGCACGCTGCTCGGAGGTCGCAGGAAACAAACAGGCGTCACAGAATCGTTTGAGCAGCAGGAGTGCGGCGGCGGCGGCGGCGGCCTGCAGAGATCCAACACAGCCTGAACACGAGTAGATGATATTAAATGAAGTTGCAGCTCATAATATGATTTTTAAAATCCATGAAAGTGCTTTTTTATTATGTTTACAGCTACTGAATGATTTCACTGAACGCCATGTGCAGTATTGTTTTTGAAGAAGTACGTCTGCGCACAGAGAAAGTGGAGAATCTGAACGAGGTTTGGTTGATGAAATTAGTCAAATATGAACTAAAATTAAAACTAAAGTCTTTCCTTTTTTTTTTAAGATTTATTTTTGGGGCATTTTGTGCCTTTATTGGAGAGACAGGACAGTGGATAGACTCAGAAATCAGAGAGAGAGAGAGTAGGGAATGACATGCGGAAAAGGAGCCACAATGGTTGGATTTGAACCCGGGCCGCCCGCTTGGAGGACTACAGCCTCCGTACAATGGGTGCACACACTAACCACTGTACCACCAGCGCCCAGAAAGCCTGTAGACTGGATGTTCCCCCTTCATTCAGAGATCCTCTTTGATCACTTTCCTTAAGTTGCATATTTACATTTGCTCTCTCGTCCTCCGTGGAGCCCTCCACATGTGAACCTGACATCTCACGGGTGCTTAGATCCTGATGTTTTGACGCTGCTGTATTTCACGAGTCGGAGGAGCCGCAGCATCATGTGGTCCCCATGTGTTATATGAAAACTTAAACCCTTTCTGCAGAGCGCTGAGGGTCACAGCAGTAACTTAGGGTGGACAGAGAACGACCTCTTCATCGAGGCTTTGATTCCTCATCGCTGAAAGTCCACTGATATAAATTTAAAGGTTTCATTGCTGACCCTGTAACAGACCTACACACACACACACTCCACATGTTGCTGCTTTGAATAGTTGCAGTGTAAATCTCTCTCTGACTTGACTCAGACGGGTTGAAAAACATGACCTCTCCTCCGAGGTCAGGGCCTCTTCTCGACCCCTCCTGGTTCTGGTCTTTATGGCTTCAGTATCAGGATCACGATTTCACCGTGTCGCTCCACCTTCCTTCATCATTCCTCTGTTGCTCTCCTTTATTCTCTCTTTAACTCAGGACAGTTTCTACTAAATATAAAGTCAGGCTGCATGGTGGTGCAGTGGTTAGCACCGCAGAGCGAGGAGGTTCCTGGTTTGAATCCCCGTCTGACAGGAGCCTCTCTGTGTGGAGGTTCCTGGTTTGAATCCCCGTCTGACAGGAGCCTCTCTGTGTGGAGTTTGTTCTCCCCGTGCATGTGTGGGTTCTCTCCTGGTACTCCGGCTTCCTCATTGTCTGTAGGTGTGAATGTGAGTGTGGCTGGTTGTCTGTCTCTATATGTCAGCCCTGTGATTGGCTGGTGACCAGTCCAGGGTGTAACCCCGCCTCTCGCCCAATGACAGCTGGCAGTTCGACCGCGAACAGGAATAGCAGTCTATATAATGGGTGGAACTAACGTCCTCCTTTCTAATAGAGTTTAAAATGGATCCATGATTAAAAGTTGAGTGAAGCTGCAGAGCGCCGAGGCCCTCCTCTTAAGTGACGTCTGGTTCTGATCATCTTCAGGATCTGGTGTTTACCTGGACTCAGAGAAACCTGGATCCGCATCTCCCTGTAGACATGATCAATACTTACATCCTGTTTCCTCTATCTTCAGGTGCACAGTTTTCTTTAACAGATCTCCAGAGTATTCACTGCAGGATGCTGCCCTCTGCTGTTTGGTTACAGGAAGTGCACCTTCAGTCTTCACTGTTTTACTTTCTTTTGTTTTACACAATCCACAAACACCGAAATAAAACCGCAAACAGCTGTTTGTGATTAAAAACAAAAAGGTCTCTCTCTGTAGGGATCCTTTCTGTCATGTCATCACAAACTTAGAATAACAACCGGAGCCCGTCTGGGACAAAAAGTACAACTGTTCAGAAAGGTTAAAGACCGATGCAGAGCTAGGAGTTCAGTACTGAAGTTACCGGTTTATATGGAGTAACAGGAGAACAGTGCAGGAGGTGGTGCTGTCCCGTCCCGTCTCATACTACAGTAAAAACGATAGTTTGAGTGAACAGTGAGAAACACCTCCAGCTCCTGAGGAGGAAACGCTTCCTAATGACGAGTAACTCAACTGAAAACTTTGCACAAAGCTTCTCAACTTTATTAAGATTTATTCTTTAAACCTCAGTGAGTTCATGCGACCTTAACTCTTCCTGGAGCATGAAAGTTTAAATATATCAGAGTTACATTGTGAGACTTCTTATAGGGCGCACTCGCACCAGGCAACCTGTACCGTGTCCGAGCACGCTTCGCTTCACCCCCCCCCCAAAGTCCAGGTTGTTTGACTAGTGTGATCGTCCCTTCCAAGCACAGGAACATAGCGTGGTCAGCCTTCATTCAGGAGAAACCCCAGAGTGTCGTTTTCTGATGTGCGGACGCAGACTCGACCGTGCGTCCCTTTTTTTATGTTTGAGTCCGGTCTGGGTGTGAGTGCAGACCAGCGGGGGGATGGGGAAGGGGGACAATGAGGCTTCAGCACGGGACGAGACAACCAAGACTAGTGTGAGTGCGCCCTTACATGTTGCTTCACATGAGTCTGATTATAGGCACATTAACACACACACACACACACACACACACACACACACACACACACACACACTAGCAGTCCGTTTGAATGAGCTCTTTGGCTTTTTGCAGGTTGTGGTCGACGGCTCCGTCTAAGAACTGGACCCAGGTGAGTTGTGATTCCCCGCACACGTGACTGGACCTGCACGATATCAAACACAAAATGAGTTAAGCTCCCGTAAAGTCGAATACAAACTTTATTTACAGGTGATCGATTAGCTGATTGGCTGTTTCCAGGCACATTTACTCAACGCTCTCATCTCCGTCTCGTTATTGGTCAACCTGAAAATCCCCTCTGTGCTCCATCTAAAGCCACGCCCCCTCCCCTCTGTGCTCCCTCTAAAGCCACGCCCCCTCCTCCCTCTGTGCTCCCTCTAAAGCCACACCCCCTCCCCTCTGTGCTCCCTCTAAAGCCACGCCCCCTCCTCCCTCTGTGCTCCCTCTAAAGCCACACCCCCTCCCTCTGTGCTCCCTCTAAAGCCACGCCCCTCCTCCCTCTGTGCTCCCTCTAAAGCCACACCCCTCCCCTCTGTGCTCCATCTAAAGCCACGCCCCTCCTCCCTCTGTGCTCCATCTAAAGCCACGCCCCCTCCTCCCTCTGTGCTCCCTCTAAAGCCACACCCCTCCCCTCTGTGCTCCCTCTAAAGCCACGCCCCCTCCTCCCTCTGTGCTCCCTCTAAAGCCACACCCCCTCCCCTCTGTGCTCCCTCTAAAGCCACGCCCCCTCCTCCCTCTGTGCTCCCTCTAAAGCCACACCCCCTCCCCTCTGTGCTCCCTCTAAAGCCACGCCCCCTCCTCCCTCTGTGCTCCCTCTAAAGCCACACCCCCTCCCCTCTGTGCTCCCTCTAAAGCCACGCCCCTCCTCCCTCTGTGCTCCCTCTACGGTGTTTCACATACATTTCATAACAACCAGAGGAGCGGTTGTCTGCTAACGTCTACAGCCCGTTGTACAGACGTCTTTTCGTTTAAGATTTATTGATTTATTTGTATGAAACCTGACACAGGACTTAACGGGTTAGTGTTCGCTGTCATAGCAACATCTTACCTGATGATCTCCAGAACCTTCTTTAACAGTGTTGCCAGTTTAGACACCTGCAGAGAAACACACCACAAGTCAACACGTTTAGCACGACCACGTTCCCTCAAAAATCGGACGTTGAGGCGCTGGTGGTGCAGTGGTTGGTGCGCCAATCGATGTATGGAGGCTATGGTCCTCCAAGCGGGCTGCCCGGGTTCGAATCCCAGCTGTGGCTCCTTTTCCTGCATGTCATTCCAACTCTCTCTCTCTCTCCCTGACTTCCGACTCTATCCACTGTCCTGTCTCTACATTAAAGACACAAAAAGCCCCCCCCCCAAAAGAAAAAATGGGACGATGTGTAAAATGTCATTAAAGACGGAATGTGATGATTTGTGTAATCATTGAGTGTGTTTACAAGGTTTTGATCAGGCTTCCAAAGTTTCCTGTTTTTGTGGTATTGCATGTAAACATCATATTCTAATTTCAGAAACTGGGAAGAAACCCGATTTTGAGAAACCTAATTTTGATACCCAGAAAACGAGATATTGTGACGGTTTTTGACAGCTGCCGACTACCTGCGCAGGTGCAGCTTCAACCAAAGCTATGTGTCAGCAAAAACAACGCAATGGCAGCTCCAAGAGCGTCTTACTTCTGGAGCGGCGGAGAAGCTGAGTTTTTGTCTTTTGGTTTATCTGCTACGTGGTGGTGCTGAGCCTGCAAATCTCATATTTCTACGCAGTGATCATAAAGCAGGATTGATCATGTCTACAGGGAGATCAAGAACCAGGTTTCTCTGAGAGCAGGTAAACACCAGATCCTGAATATGATCAGAACCAGGATCAGACTCAGAACCAGGATACTAAAGTTCATGTGGACACACTCAGTGAAAACCCATATTTAACTAGTTTGGAGGCGTGTGAATATTTGGAATTTGAAACATGTTTCAGAATGTTCAGCGCTCTGTTGCATCACTTTGTGTTGTAACGACACTCTGCAGCGCCCGGCTCAGACTCCAGGAGGTCTCACATCCTCATCAGGCACATCAGGAGAATCCAAACAGATCTTCTTCTTCTCTATAATCTCATTGTGCTCACAAGACCAGATGTGAAAATCATGACTCATCACAGACTACAGAGGACGGCCTAAAGACTGATGTCTGAACTCCTGAGTATGTTTCTGTAGCATTCATGATGTGTGTGTGTGTGTGTGTGTGTGTGTGTGTGTGTCTGTGAGTGTGTGTGTCTGTGTGTTTGAGTGTCTGTCTGTGTGTGTGTGTTTGTGTCTCTGTGTGTGTGTGTGTGTGTGTGTGTTTGTGTGTTTGTGTCTCTGTGTGTTTGAGTGTCTGTGTGTGTGTGTTTGTGTCTCTGTGTGTGTGTGTGTGTTTGTGTGTTTGTGTCTCTGTGTGTTTGAGTGTCTGTGTGTGTGTGTGTGTGTCTCACATTGTTCTCCACACCGCTGTAATCCATCGGAGGGTAGAGGCAGAGAGCCAAATCATCAACACTGAAGAGAAAACAGTGAAAGGAGATGAACATTTCAGAACCACGATGTTCTGAAATCTTTTTACATTTTAAAAACTACAAACAGCAGGAAAATAACGTGTGAGTGCATAAAGACCTGAACCTGTTCTCTGAGCTGCCTTTGAGTTTTGGGTTTACGTTGCAGGAACAGAAAGCCCTCCTGCTGCTGTATACTCAAACACAACCACACTGATCACACGATCTGCTCATGGGTTGAAATAAATGATGTCACGCTGACTGGAGGAAAGTCGAATAGAGCTGTTATACTTCAATTCAAAAGCTGCTTCTCTGACCACTCTCACCCCATCAGCATCATGCAGGGATCAGCTGGTGGCCGTGTGACAGCCTGCTGACAATGTTACAGCCTGCTGACGACGTTACAGCCTGCTGACGATGTTATAGCCTGCTAATGTTACAGCCAGCTGATGTTACAGCCTGCTAATGTTACAGCCTGCTAACGTGACAGCACGCTAATGTTACAGCCTGCTGAAGTGACAACCAGCTAACGACGTTACAGCCTGCTGATGTTACAGCCTGCTCTGGCAGCTAACGAAGGCAGTCTGGGTTCAAGTCTGACCTTTGCCCCCTCTACCGCACGTCATGTGTGTGTGTGTATGTGTGTGTGTGTGTGTGTGTGTGTGTGTGTGTGTGTTCCTACCTCGGGCTGATCTCCTTGCTGATGTCTGCCAGGTCGTCGAGCTGAGCGAGATTCTGCAGCGTGCCGACATCCCCGTTGGCTCTGACGGCCGATGTAAGTTTTCTCAGGCACGCCGCCGACGCCTTCATCAGCCCCTGACACGGACCAATCACAAGCCGGTCCTTCTCTGACCAGTATGTGTCCTGGTTTCCTCGAGGCTCGTCTCCTCCCTGCTCGTCATCAAGGACGTCACTGAATGGGTCCTGAGCCTCAGATAACGCCTGGCCGATGGTCAGTAAATGAGTTAACAGGTGCACGTAGTCCTGCACGACTTTCAACATTTATCTTAATGGATCAAATTATCACTGATTTCTTGAAGAGTAAAGCTTCAGGCTGCTGAGTATAGATAGAAGTATCTGCAGCTGATTCTTGTTTCTCTGAACAACTGAGCTCAAAACACAAATAGAATGTTACTTCACTTCCATCAACTTGCAGCTCTCTTTTATTTACAATAACACCTGCTGACCAGAATACCCGTTCAGAGCGCACAGACGTTCCTAGTACATACAAATATTTGCGAGCCAGCTTGGAGAGTTGCAGGTTTGTAGAGACTCTGTCTCTCCACCAATCAGAGCGCTGCTGTCTGCAGAGAGACGACTCTCCCTCATGTAAGTCTGGATCTCCTGAATCATGCTGCCCCACAACATTACAGTCTTCAATTACTGAGGACATGAGGTCATGCAATGGTCACGTTACACTGAGAGCGCCCTCTGCTGGATCAAACGGCAAACTACTTCAGACGGCCTGATGCTCTGATGGACTGACTATTTCAAATTAGAACGGCTCATTGCAGTTTGAAAAAGAGGCTGGTAGTTGTTATGGTTAACGTCAGACTTAAAATCTCAAACTTTAACGTACGTCAATGTAAGGTCCTCTGCAGTGTGTGTGTGTGTGTGTGTGTGTGTGTGTGTGTGTGTGTGTGTGTGTGTGTACCTGTTCAATTTCTTCGATGGCGTCTTTCACCACTCCAATCTGATCGGACAGGACGACTAAAACTGCAGCTTTATTATCTGTGTCACAAACACACACACACACACACACACACACACACACACACACACACACACACACACACACACACACACACACACACACACACACACACACACACACACACACACACACACACACACACACACACACACACACACACACACACACACACACACACACATATTTTCAAAGCCATCAAGGCGAGGCTTAAAGGGAATGTTCATGAAAAGACGATCTCTGCTCCAGTCAAAGGAGCAATATGTAACTCTGACCCCTAGTGTTTAAAATGGGTACTTCGGTCCAAATTCTAAACATCATAGAGAGCTGTCTCCCCTCGCCCCCTCCTCTCTAGAGTCGATGCTCACGCAGGTCGCCATGTGGCAGACACTGAAGCTGATGCTGTGACTTTAAATTACAACATAAAGGCGGGAAATACGCTTTGATAAAAATCCTGTAAAGTTTACTGACCTTGTGGCAACTGGGGAAACTGGTCGCAGGCGGACCAGACTCCACCCGTAGATGTTAACTGTTCCTGTGTCAGACTGGAGGCGAGCACGTGAAGAAGAAGAGGAAGAAAGATCCGGGATGACAGATTTTAAAAAACCGAGAGAAATAGAACAAAAGGGTTTAAATACCTCTCTTAAAGGAGCAATATGTAACTCTGACACCTAGTGTTTAAAACGGGTACTGCAGTCTAAATTCTAAACATTGTAGAGCGCTGTCTCCCCCCGCCCCCTCCTCTCTAGAGTCGATGCTCACGCAGGTTACCATGTGGTGGACACTGAAGCGTCCAAAACGAGTGTGTGCCTGTGTTTACGACTCTATGACCCATCTCTTCTTCATTTGCAATCTAAAAATCTAAACTTAATATGATGACTCTGTGTGTGTGTGTGTGTGTGTGTGTGTGTGTATTCACCTCTGTAGCGGCGAGCTCAGTATGACCTCCACCAGCTGTGCGACTCCCTCCAGAACCTCCCCCGTGGCATCTCTGATCTTTCTGCGCAAACTAACGCCTGAGACAAAGAAAGAGAAAAGCGTAAGACATCAGACTAGATAAGAGCTGACTGAAGCCGAGCGGCTGCTGTGGGGTCGATGACGTTACCTTGGCTCTTAGGCAGCCAGTAATAAACTGTAGAGAGAGTCAGGATGCTCTTCATCATGGAATCCGACAACTTCTCCACATCCTGCAGATCAAAACCAGGAAAGAGAAAAAAAAGGTAAACAGACTTGAGCTTGTATATTTTCTTTTCTCGTCTTCTGATGACTCAAAGCGCTTTCACACCGAAGGTCACACCTACACATTCACACACTTCTCAGGAGGTTAAAGCGTCTGACCTGTTGCGATGGCAGCGGGGGTTTGGAGAAGGCCAGGCTGAGCTTCGTGGCTTCCTGGGACACAGACTTCACCGCCTGGTCTGTGGACAGAAGAGACTGTTACACATTCACATAGCAGAGAGAAAGGATAAGATGAAACAGCAGACAAAACGACACAAACCAGCGTGCAGCGAAGTTTAACCTCGACTGGTCGTTGGAAGACTAAATAGTATTTGAAACTTGATATACAAAGAGAGAGAAACAGAAGAAGGTGAGTCAAAGATCAAGATAAACTCAACTCAGCGTGTCCCAGAAGTTGGAGAGGTTGAACGCTCCATCGGACTCGTTGGACTCTCCATCTGTGGAAACAAACAAACAAAAAAAAAACTCTTGTTTTGTAATCAATTATAATTGTTCCTTTTCATTACACGCTGATGTGATTACATTACTTTTGGGGTGACCAACAGAGTACCCCGTGCACAGCAGACCTACAGTACGCTCTCAGGTGCCGGTCGGTTGCAGGAACATACGATGGAAAAATGAATAAACCGTGGCACTCAGAAGATGACTCTACGGTGAGTGAACAACACCTTTAGCCTGGCCGAACCTGAGGAAGGCTAAACGTGTTCTCCACTTACGATAAAGTGACAGTAGAGTCATTCTCAGTGCGACACGGTTTGTTTATTTTTAATTATTTTAGGGTCATTTGAGTCAAATTTGTCAAACAATCACTGTTGTTATTAGAGAGGCACCGATCCAATTTAAGTTCAGCTCCGATTCAGATTCAAACAGATACAGATGATTAATTTATCTGCTGTCCTGAACACATTTATTTGTGTTGAGTTTTTTACGCTCTCGGTGCGAGAGAAATTCCCTTTAAGATACACTTAATAAAGTTAATCGTCACGCTACGAGTTTTGCTGGAGCTGTTTGACCTCTTCCTAAAAGTCAGAAATGATGTGTGTGTGTGTGTGTGTGTGTGTGTGTGTGTGTGTGTGTGTGTGTGTGTGTGTGTGTGTGGGGGGGGGGGCATTTAAGTTTACGGCTTCCTTTCCTCTGAAGAAATCATAATTTCTGCTCTGATTGGAGGATTTCAGAGGATGTTGAATGACACATCTGGCTGTAGATGTTCTCCCTGATGTGTTTGTGGATGAGCCTGACAAACCTTTAATTTGTCTTTAAATGTTTAATAAAGTATTTATTTGTTGTTCTTTGTGTTTGTGGCGGCTTGTAGTTTGTTAAGTTGTGCTGCTGCCTGCCTTCCTCCTCTCAGAGTTTATTTCCTGGTTAAATAAAATGTTTTTAAAAAGGTCTGTAACACTTTCTACAACACTGAGTTCACTTCTTTAACCTGTACTACATATTAAAGCTGCTAATGAGACTTTAAAGGACAATATCTGACAGTTATAGCAAATAAACGGTTGCCATGGTTACTCCAACATGACACCGTCACATTAAGAGTTTAATTAAAACTACAAACACGCTAACAGGCTCGTATGTAGCCTAGCTTTAACTTTAGCTCCGTGCTGCGTCATAAATGCTGTAATGCGTCATATTTACCTCTGACTCGGTCTCTGACGCACCGGATGGAGTTCAGGAGATTTCGTAAAGGCACCGAAACATTTCCAACACAAATATCTGCGCTCATGTTATCACAGTTTGTGTTTTGTTTTTGTTGTGAAGCTAAGTCGGCTAGTTTAACATGCGTGTTGTGGAACTAAAAGGGACCGGACGTTTAACCGGGGACGATTGTTGAGGTAACACACCCACAGACTGGGGTTGCAGAAAGGTAAACAAAGCGCTTTAGTGACGCCCAGTGGTGAGATCGGTGTACTGCAGCCAGAAACATATATAGTAATGGTACTACTACTAATAATTATGATAATAAGAGTTATATGAACATAATCGGCCAATCTTTTAAAACTGAAACAAAAATAAAAAATAAAACAGTTCAAATAAAAAAAATACAATTAAATTGAAATAAACTTTTATTAATAATTTATTTAAAATATTACACCCCCTCTATGATTTATTTATTTTTGTAATGTTCTTTATTTTCTTTCTTTATTTTTTTTACATGGGGGGGTGAGGGTTAGTTTGGGGTGTGTTACTGCATCCTATATACCAACATAGTTCTTAAATGCAACTCGGCTTCTTTTAGAGTTTGCAGGAAGGACTGCCCTTATCTGTGCAGATGTGTTTATTGTTGACTTTGACCTTTTATTATTCAGAATGTGACTTCTAGGTGCAGCTGTGGTTGTTTGTTGTCTGGATTAGGCTTGTCTCATGTTTGGATGTTTTGTGACCTGTATGAGTGTTTTTGTTAAGGGTGGGGGGAAGAACAGAAAAATATCTGTTAAAAATCTGTTATTATCTTTCAATAAAAAGACCTTTGAAAAAAAAAAAATATATATATATATATTGCACCCCCTCAAATGTGTCGACCTTTTAAAAAGGTCTGTCATATCCTTAAATGCGAGACAGAGGCAATGCATTTAGGGCTCGAGGACGAGTCAACACCAGGATCATAAATATCAATGAAAGACCATTATCTTGTGTGCAGGGGCCGTGTCACTCATTTAGACCATAACACCGGGAAGGTTGCGGCCGTAACCGGGAGAAAAGATTAAACTAGTTATATGAACATAAAAAAACTGCCACTCAGTGGTAGTCTTGAGCGGTCTGGAATAAAATTCCAGAGTCCGGTGTTGAGACCAAAACCAATCTCAAGTACTACAACACTAATTCTTATACAATACTTTATTGTCCCCCCGGTGGACATTTGTAGTCACATCTTACGCAGCTGGAACATTGATCCATACACACATAACTAAACACTCATGGCCTTTTCCAGGTAAGAGTCCTCAATCTCTGCCCTGATGGTAGGAAAGAAAAGAGTGGATTGAAAGGATGAGTGGGGTCCTGGGCTGGGTGAGTGGTCTGTGTGTCAGAGGATTGTAGATGAGGTCTGAGAGGTTCTGGGTGGGCACAGATTATGGTGCCTTTATTGTAGAGATACGAAAGTGAATAAAGTCAGGATGAGAGAGAGAGTTGGGGAATAACAAGTGGTAAGGAGCCACAGGTCGGATTCAAACCTGGGCCGCCCGCTTGCAGGACTATAGCCTCTGTACATGGGACGTCCGCACCAACCACTACGCTACCGGCGCACGAAGTCCAAAGGTTTTTGAGGCGGTATGTGTGATGCGGGTGAGTTTATTCAAGTTCAGGAGCATGTTGAAGAAACAGGGTGAGCAGTAGAGGAGGATGGGTTGGATGATACTTTTATAAAGTAGTAGAAGAAGAGGTGTTACAGATGGGCACTGACATGGAGTGAGGAGGAATTGGGTACAAGACATGATCCGGATGGGGGTTAAAATAAGGTGAATGTCATACGTTTGGAAAAGAGCATCAGTGATGTCAACGGCGCCTGAAAGATTGTCTTGTCAACTTTAGCACTGTGAGCGGCCACACAAAGGGCAGCGCGCTTGGAAAAATGCTGGGTGCTGCGCTTTTTCTCCAGTTGGCTGCTTCCTGCTGGTGGGAACACCCTCTCCTCATTAAAAACTATTTTTAAAAAGACGCTAGCGCGCAGAAAAAAACACGTCACTGGGACGAAGTAATCTTGCGTATCTTGTGTCAATACAAAACACCACACCTCTGTTCTTCCACCTTCAAAATAAAAGCACCACATGTTAGAATGTTTAAAAGGGGAAACTGACATTTTCAGAGTTAAGAATAAAATATTTAATAGATACAGTGTGGACAGCCAGCGGGTGTGTGATGCAACGCTTTATCCAACGCTGGTGTGCTGTATTTTAATCTTTAAGTAAGTATATTTGAATAAAAATAGATTTCAGGATATGTGTCACCTTCGATAAAGGTCCCCGTTCTATGGAAGCGTATTGCATTCATGTGGAGAATTTTTTATTTTGCCTGGTTCCTTGTTATAACGAGATAAAGATCTCGTTATAACGAGATAAAGAGAGAAAAGCATTAGGGTGGCGATGAGGAGGCGTGGGTTTGTTTATGGGAGTGTACAATACACCAGTGGCAGCTCATTACAACATTTCAGTATAAACACCGTAGCAGGCGATTCTGGCGCCGCAGTTGTTTTTCATGGGGTTAAAGTATTTTCAGTAAATGCCTAAACGTATCTTGAGACACCACATAGCCAGCTTGAATACAATTCAGATGCATGACTTTATATCAGTCAAGCATACCATATCTATTTAACTGATCCTGGAAGAATGACGCTGTGTCAAGTAGGTCAGAGTGTGCTTTGCTTTCCGTCTGAACAACCTTAACGCCTTCAGATGCCTGCGCTAAGTCAGTATGAGAATACCATCTGTATTACTCAAAGATGATAATATTTCCCAATGCCTTAAACCGAGATGAAAATAAAACACAATCAAATCAATAACCCTGGTCATCGTTTCCCATTGATCTTCCACCCTCCTCTGCCTGCCACAATGCAAACTTCATTAACCCTCTAGTATCTTTTAGTCTTTGTAATGTGTGTCTTTTCTCGTAATAACGAGATTTTTATGTCGTAATAACGAAATCTTTATGTCGTAATAACGAGATCTTTTCTCGTTATTACGACATAAAGATCTCGTAATAACAAGAAACCACGCAAAAAAAAAATTCCCCACATGAATGCAATACGCTTCTGTACCGTTCAGATAGAAGAACAAGGACACACAAACACACTCAATGCAAAAAATCAACCTGTCTAGACTGTCCTGAAAAAAGCGAATTAATGTTTGTCATAATGTCGAGCTGCAGTTTCTCCGAGGGCCTCCATGCCCCCCCCCCCCGTCTCTCTCCTGGCCAATCAGATTGCATGTTTCAAGTCTCAGACAGATTTTCTTTCACATCACTTCAAGGAGTTAAGGCGGAGAAATTATTTTATTACCTCTTTCTCCCTCTCTCTGTTTTGTCTCATTCTTCCTTTGTCTCCTCATCCCTCCATCTCTCTCAGGTGTGATGTGTGTGTGGGGAGTCTTCTGTCTAGACAACCGATTATACCGAATAATGAGGTGGGGGGGAAGGGGAGAGGAGGGGTACGGAGCGGCAAAGAGTTGTGATGTCAGGCGGAGAAAAAAAGAGAGATGTGAAAGGGGAGGATGAAGAAGAGGCAGACAGGAGGAGGAAAAGGGAGCAAGGGATTAGAGATGAGACAGAAAAGGAGGAAGGATACAGACAGGAAAAATTATAACAGGGAAGGAAAGAAAGAGAGGAAAGAAGGAAGGGAATGAGGGAAGAATAAAGGAAGGAAGGATGGAAGGAAAGATAGAAGGAATGAAGGAAGGAGGGAAAGAATCTACAAAAGAAAGAAGCAAGGAGAATAGAAATATAAATGTTAGGAAAGATGTAAAGGGGAGAATCAAACAATAAACTGAAAAAGGCACCGGCAAGTCACACACACACACACACACACACACACACACACACACACACACACACACACACACACACACACACACACACACACACACACTCTCAGAGCCAGAACAGCGACGCAGTCTGATCTGCTGCATTATAGGAAACCCTATCAGTCACACAAGCTTTACTTTCTGTGTGCGGGCGTGTGAATGTGAATGCACACACACACACACACTCACACACACTCACACACACAAACTCACACTCACTGTAATAGGCTTATCCAGCGCTGCAGCCTTTAAACTGGGGAATTTTTTTTCTTGGCTGTTTTGGATGAAAGAACATTTCCCCTCGTCTAAAACAACACAGACCTCTAAAGAAACCTTCGCGCGTGTGTGTGTGTGTGTGTGTGTGTGTGTGTGTGTGTGTGTGTGTGTGTGTGTGTGTGTGTGTGTGTGTGTGTGTGTGTGTGTGTGTGTGATCACTCGTTTTGTCTGCATTCATAATTAAAACAAGAAAATGAGAGACGTGATTAAGACAGTCTGGAGAGACAGTCAGCCCAACAGACCTTTTATTTTAAAAAAACAAGCGGAGTGTGAAGACAGTGAGTAAGCAGAAAAGTTAAGACACTACGAGAGACGAACTGCAAGCGAGAGGAACATTAAAGTATGATGTAAGTGAGAGAGCTGGTCGACAATGGATCATTTATTGAGACAAAGACAGACAGTGGGCCAGGTAGTGAGGAATAAATAAGTTTGATAACTGACGGAGGTCGTTTGTCGAGGTAGTGCGTCCCGTCCCCCCTCTTACTAACACCGCCTACACCTCAAGCGGTCATCAAGTGTCCTTTATGATGTTACGTTTTAAAGTTGATCTGCCAGAGCCGCAATCTGAAAAAGCAACCAACACTTTTTGTCTCTGATGTTATCAGACCAAGCAGCAACCTCCGGTGTTGAAAAACGAAGCTGATGCTAAAGTGTAAAATCCTGCAGTTCCTCAAGTGTCCACTAGAGGCCGGCTGCAGAAGCACAGGAAGTCACATACACACCCATTCTAAAAAGCCTGTTTTTACAGCAGAGATTAACATGTTTACAGCCTGGTTCAAAAAAGCTAAAAGGTCTGATTAGCTCATGTCTCGATCGACACACACTGTACAGGGGGTGAATGTTTTGATGACTCATCAGTTTTGATTTGATGAAGGATAAGAGTTATTCACAATAAGGCGTGTAGCTGACCTGATGATGGTTGTGACGATGGTTTTTGTTTGATAACGATGACTTGTAAGATGGTTTCTATACTGATTCTCTCATTCTACTGAGCTCTCAAGAACTGCCCTCAATGTTGTGCT